ATGTCACCTGTATGCATCAGGTTGTCCTAGAATTTAGGTGTGCGTATATAAACAGAACGCAATGGCTGCCCAAGACAAAGTTTTATAATGATGAAGACAGAAATCAACAAGACATTAGCATACAATAGCATTTAATATGATCAATGATGTGATCGGCTGTAAGGCGGCAGGTTAGAACTACCAGAGATCTTGACTTGATAATAATGTGCCTTGTGTAACTGTAATTGATAATTTCCAAGAACTTCCACATTACTTCATTTTATTCCAACAACTTCCATAGAAGCTTAAGTTAGAAAGAAGACTCACTAGCCATCCGGGAAGCAGACAAAGACAGACTATGACTTGCTCAGAGTCACATCAAGTAACTACAATGTTGGGACAAGAAAATGTACCCCTTGCATCAAGGTCCAACACTTCTGACTCTGTGCCTCACCTTAGGACCTTGGACAAGTCACTCTACATTCACTCTTCAGTCTCCTGTCTTTAAAACAGTGCATAGAGGTGGGTGGTCCTTGGACTTCCCACAGGGCAGGGAACCCTGAATGCTCTTTGGGCTGACGAGGGAGGGGGGACTTGGTTGGAGGAGGAGGAGGGAAATGGGAGGCGGCGGTGGGGAAGAGACAGAAATCTTTAATAAATAAATAAATTTAAAAAATAAAAACAAAATAAACATAAAACAAATAAAACAGTGCCTATTGAAAGTGACTAGGGAGAGAGAGCAAATAGGGCAGTCTAAGTCAAAACACTTCAGGACATACGAATAAAGGTATATGTTAAGATATGCCTGTTTCTCTGGAGAAAAACAGGGTACGGGGATGGTACCAGTGTGGTGAGCAAATAAAATGTCCCTGGACAGAAGAATTACTTTTGATAATTCTCTTGTAGTCTCAATGACTCCACAAGGCAAACATCCATTAAGATGGCACAAAAAAAAAAAAAAATGGACTCACCTATGCACCAGACTGTAACTGGTATGGATACTATCAAGCACCTGAATTACAAAAGAGAGACAGGTTCTGCCTGCATTTCTTCACAAAGATGAAAACAGATGGTTTTGCTAGTCTATGAAATAAAATGTGAATGCATTGCCTGCTCCCGCCAGCACCATCACAACTATCATCTATCTCTAGCCTGATATTCCCAGTATCATATCTACTGGCATGGGTAACTATAAATTTAGAACTCAGTAAATTGCATTAAAAGTGTTTAGTAGGCACACAAAACTACTAAACAATGTACTAGACTGATCAGACATGACAGATAATCCTATTTCACAAGGCTGCTTAAGATACTATACTTTTATCACAATTCTAGAACTTCTTAAGAACAGAAACTATTTCTTATATTCAGTATCTCCAGTTTATATAACAAAATGAGTATCACACACCAAACATTCACTACATACAGTTCTAACTGGTTAACTTAAAATACAGAAGATAACTCTACCCACTTTTCCCATCCCCAATTTTCTCTCATAGGAAGAACATCTCACATGAGGGACAGCAGGGATGAAGTGGAACAGGACACTGAGGCTAGAGGAAGAAGGCCCATTTTCCAGTCCTGGGTGTACCAGATCACCATGTAGCTTTAAGCACAGTAATTTGTCTATAAAAAGTTAAACTTAACTATGTAGACAATAATTTTAAAACTCCATCTTGGGAGAGGGAGGTGAAACAGATTTTCATTCTATAACCCAGGCTGGCCTCAAAGTTGACCCAATCCTCCTGCCTTAGCCGAGATTACAGTTGTGAGCAAAACATCCAGTTTAAAACTATTTTATGCTGCCAGGTGGTGGTGCACGCCTTTAATCCCAGCACTTGGGAGGCAGAGGCAGGTGGACCTCTGTGAGTTCCAGGTCAGCCAGGACTGTTTCACAGAGAAACCCTGCGGGGGTGGGGAGAACCTATCTTATACCATAATAAATCATTCATTCAGTCTAAAAGACCTTTGTATGTGTCAAGAACACACTGATAGGTACCTCAAATTAGAATTCTTGCCAAAGTCATAGGTTATTGTGATTAGAGCTACTTTTGGCCACTAACTGAGCATGTGAATGGCTTCGTCCATACACCGAAAGTCAACTAAAGACTTAAACCTTAAGTTTAAAAAAACTGAGCTTCTTCCAAGTGCCAAGACCAGAACTGGATACTCTGTCCATATCTGATCAGAGAAACAAGGGCAAGTTTCTTGAGCAGCTGAATTTAACACCTTTTATCCCATCACCTTCTACATGAGCCTCAGCCTAAAAACCAAGTAAAGAGTACATAAGTGAGACAAGAAACTTCTTCCCCTAACAATATTATACTGTAAAAAATTATTTAATGAAATATGCATTTTTATTCAACCTATATACTTCACATTTAACTGGGGGAAAAAAATCTCACCTAGGCATTGCTGGTACAGACCTACAATCCCAGATATTCAGGAAGTTGAGCCAGAAGGATCTAAGTTCTAGACCTGCTTGGGATACAGACTAAGTTCAAGGTCAACCCAGGTAGTTTGGTATGACCTTGCTACAAAGTAAAAAAATATAGCCAGGTATGTTGGCAAATGCTTTTAATCCCTTGGGAAGCAGAAGCAAGACAAATCTCAGGATAACATGGTCTACATAGCCATTTCTAGGTCAATCAGGGCTACATAGTGGAACCCTATTCAGAAAAAAAAGCACATATGTGTGTGTAATGGAGATATAGTAGTATGTACCTCTGTACATATGTACACACATACATACACATGGAATGGAAACACGTAGTAGCACACTTGTGTTCCACCCCAGTACCGACATAAAGTGTGTGGGTGAATCTTCACTGTCAACAACCCTCTTCATCACCTTCCTATAACACTTAACCTCCTTACTTTTATAAATTTTATATGGCTTCAAGAGTAACCAAGAACAAGGGGCTGGAGAGTTGACTCAGTGGTTAAGAGCACTTACTGGCTGCTCTTAAAGAGGACCCAGATTCAATTCCCAGCAACCACATAGAAGCTCACAACTCTCCCTAACTTTAGTTTCAAAGGATCTGACACCCTCTTCTGGCCTCTGCCAGCACCAAGCATCCAACTGATACACATACATTTTGCATCCATACATATAACAATTTTAAAAGGGGGACAGAAACAGACGCAATGTGAATGATTGCCTTGACTTCCTTTAAAGTTGGTAAGCATGTGCAGCAATGGCAGTTCAAACATTATGTGATAAAACTACAAGTTTGTCAGTTGCCGATACTAAGGTTTTATTTACTCTGTCTCCCATAGAATGTGATGAACTATAACTGAGAGTTATCCCATCTGCTTGTGTTTATACATACTCACAAGGCCATAGCTTTTAAATGACACTTTTTCAGATGATATGGAAGGAATACACACAAAACCTTAGGGGCAATAAAAAGTCCCCCCCCCCCCCCAATAGAAACGACTGTCTGAGATGAAGTTAACATTAAAACCCAACCAATGTTTTTGTGTATTAATTGGTTGGGTGGGTTTTTCTGAGGCAGGTATCTGTATGTAACTATGGCTTGTCCTGGCACTTGCTGTGCAGAACAGGATAGCCTGGAACTCATAGAGATCCACCTGCTTCTGCCTCCTCAGTGCTGGGATTAAAGATGTGTGCTACCTCACCCAGGTAAACTAACCAATGTTGTTGGAACAGTTACACATAGTGCCTTGCCATGGATAAGAATTCAACATTTTATTCATCTGCTGAATAAATGAATAAGCAACTAGAGTATTCCTGAGGAAAAAAGGACAAAAATCCAATGCTAAGAACATCATATACCTTTTACAAAAATAGAAACAGATGTCTCTGTAACATGAGGTTTATCTGTCACATAAAGGGACTAAAACATAGTCAAAAAAATGTTGCCAGTCTCTATATCAAAGTACTCCAAATAGTGACCAAGAAAATACGGCCCATGCCTGAAAGCCCAAAGTGTCAAAGAGCTAGAGCTACAATACTACAACACACACACACACACACACACACACACGATAAGCTACACTATGACAGTACCAAAGGCGGATAGGAAAAATGAAGGTGGGCAGGGCAGGGGTTAGGGGAGGGGCACAATGTTGAGAGCTAGGCAGCAGACAGAAATGACTGTGTGAGAGAAAGTGTCTGTGTTTGGGTCGAGAGCTGAGCAAGCACTATCTTGAGAAAAGAACGGTAGGGCAAAAGTCCCGAGGCAAGGGAAACCCTAACCACAAGGACTGTATATCAAGGAAAATTGCAAACCAAAAGTTTTGAAAGAGATGTATACATTTTTCAAAAGCTCGGCTAAGAATTCATAACTACTTCTCACCCTCAGGAAGACCTACCTACCAAAGAAGTGGTAGTCAGTGGACCTCAAGAAAAGCTCTCTCGCAACATCCAGCTACCATCCTAGCACTCAGGAGGCCGGGGCAGAAAAACGGAGTTCCAGCAATAGAACGAGGGCACACTAGGGGGAGGGGAGTGACACTATGCATCTCTGCCAGGGGAATCTACACTTTTAACAAGCATCCTCCTGCACAGCTAAACCGGAGAGACTCTCACGGACCTCTGGAGTGAAGATTACCTCCGTTCACAGTTACCAAACCTTACAACAACCCGGAACCACCAGGGGATCTCCGGAAAGATACTGCTATTTGGCTCCCCACTCCCAGGCATAGTGGTTTAATTAGTTTGGGGTGCTGTGGTACCTGGAATCTTTTCAAAATTCTCAAGTAGGTTTTTACCGTGCATCGAAGTTGGAGCTCCTATGACCTAATTGTTAAGAACCTGAACTGGACTGTCAAGGCTCCTTGAGTTCAAATTGCCCCAGCTATATGACCTTGGGCACCGAAGGCGCCCGATCGCTCTGGGCCTCGATTGCCTGGTCGAGAGAATGGGATAACAGTCCTGCCATGCAGAGTGGTGAAGTTCCCTGTCTAGCCTGGGCCTGGCAGACAGCAAGCGCTTGCTAAGGGTGGCTGTTTACTCTCCCCACGCGTCACCGTGCCCCCGGCAGCAGCATCCTCACCGGACGGCAGCAACTCCAACAGCCCTGCGGTGGACCGCATTCTCCTCCGAGTTGCCGCCACCACTCCAGACCCGCCCCCGTCCCCAGGCTGCCAGGGGCGCGCGCGGCCAGTCCGACCCTCCAAGGTTCGCTCACACCCGGCAGAAGCCGCGGACCAGGACTGCGCTCCCGCGCCCGGTGCGTCCGCTTCAGAATTCAGGAATGAGCTTGCCGAGGCCCGGCCAGGAGAGCAACGGAGGGCAAGAGGGCCCCCGCCTCAGTGGCCGCCGGAGGAAAAAAAAAAAAAAAAAAACAGCGAGAGGGGAGGGTCCGGCCGTGCCGGCCGCCGCGTACCTGAGGCGACGGGCGGGGCCCGCATCGCTGGGCGGGCGCACCGCGGGCCGCACTCGGCCTGCCGCCTCACGCGACCCGCGCCATCGGGCCCGCGTTGCCACCGCCCAGGCCGGCCCTCCTCCGGCGGTCGGTCCGTCCACCCGTCGGTGACTCTCACAGGGCGCCCGGGGGACGACGAAGACCGGTCTCTTGGCCGGCCGGCTGGGCTCCCTTCAAGCAACTTCCGACTGCCAGGGGCGGTGGCGTCAAATAATTCCCCAGTCAGAGGGACTACTGCGCCTGCGCGGCGCGCCTGACTTCGGAGGGAACCGAACGGGCGGCGTCAAATAAATCTCGAGACCAGGAGCCGGAAGCTGCGCGTGCGCAGCCGTCCCAGAGGGCCGCGCGAAGCGCGACTACACACCCCCTCCCTTGCGGGCTCCAGTGGAGAGGGAGGAGTGAAGTGACGGGGCAGTTACCTCATCGCCGTGCGGGCTCAGGAGGCAGCCCGGCTTATGCTCGTTCTCAGTATGGAAGAGTCAGGATCTTCTCTGCGAAAAGCCGGCTGCCATTCAGGCTCAAGGAGTATCTCGCAGGCCGGCACTGTAGCTCTTCCTTTGCTCAGCCCCTTATTACATGGGCGCAGCGTTGTTATGAGCAATGCCCTCGCCAGGCCTGGTGTGCTTAATGTTAAAAGGATGAATCAGACTTAAAATTCAGCACCTGTCATCAGCGAGTTGCATCCGATCTAGCAGATAAGATATTAATAGCGAGAGGTACAAGTTTGAGTACCTGCACTGTGCCAGACGTTTTGCGATCAGTACCACTTTCAGTAATTTGGCTTCAAATCCCACGAAGAAAGTAACAGCGTTAGAAAGGTACTCCCCATGTCAGGCTGGAAGGAAAGAGGGAGGGTGATGTCTACATGGAGGGCCTGTGGTGTTGGTTGTTTTGCTCTTACTCTTTTGGCTTTTGGGGGGGCCTGCCATCCAGTTCCCAAATAAATCACACACAGAGGCTTATTCTTAGTTATGAACGCCCCGCCTTAGCTTGGCTTGTTTCTTACCAGCTTTTCTTAAATTATTCCGACTATCTTTCGCCTCTGGGCTTTTCCCTTTTCTTACTTCTGTTTATCTTACCGTCACTCTTACTCCGTGGCTGGCTGGGTGCCTGGGTGGGTGGCTGACCCCTGACTTCCTCCTCCCCTTGTTCTCTCACTGCTCCTTGTCGTCCACGATTCTCCTATTTATCCTCTCTGCCTTCCAGCCTCCAACTATCCTTGCTCCTGCCTTGCTGTTGGCCATAGCGCTTTACTAGACGGGCAAAGAATCAGCTTCACAGAGTTTAACAAATGCAGCATGAACAAATGTCACACACCTTACAATAATATTCCCCAACAGACCTGCCCTTGTGACTGAGGTTATGCAAAGGACACGTTTGTGTGGAAAGAGCAGAGAAATTAGTGACTCTCACCCTGGACCACAGTAGGAGTGAAGAAGAAACCGGTTCCCTTGCGGAAGAAATAAAACAAGAATTTCTTCAAGACAAGTCCCACCTACCCCCAGGAAAGTAGCTAAAGGGAGGGAGAGAGGAACGGTGGGTAAGAATGTGCCAGTACAGTGTGTAGATGAAACAATATAGTTTAATTAATCATAGTTTTGACAAGTGCTTTAAGAAACTCAGTCAGGCAGTGGTGGCACACGCCTTTAATCCCAGTGCTTGGAAAGTAGATGTGCAGATCTCTGTTAGTTCGAGGCCATCCTGGTCTACACTGCAGGTCCAGGACAGGCTCCAAAGCTACAGAGAAACCCTGTCTCAAAAAATATAACAAAAAGAAACTCAATCATTCCTCCAAGTATCTTTCCTTCCCTTTTTTACACTACAGAGGCCAAAAAAAAAAAAAAAAAAATCCCTCTTGCCCCTTGACAGAGTGTAGCAGTGTCCTAGCCCATAAAGCATAAACCAAAGTTCCAAGAGAGGCCTAGGCTATACAGGAAGTCCTGGAGAAAACCGTGCCCTTCAACTTTTCCCTACTTCGTGATTGGAACCATGATATCAAACAATACCAGGAGATGTAGCAGTCATTTTGAGACCTCAAGAAAGACTTTACTAAGAAGTATAAAATGAGGCAAGCCTGCTTTTTTAAGATATACTGAGGTCGATGCGCAGCCCCTGTACTGCCTTTCTGCTTTAAGGAGGGAGTGGTGGGTCTGAGTTATACCTCTCGCAACCACATTCCTAACACTGTGATTATTGGACATCTAGAGTAAATCAGTTATGAATGATAGATTTGAAGAGCAACCGGTGATAGGAGTTGGAAAAGTGACAGACACAGAGGACTTGAAACCTTTTTAAAGTTCATGGGATGTAGCTTAATAGGCAGAGTGCTTGCTTGGCATGCTTGAGGTCCTGGGTTTGCTTCTCCGCACTGCACAAACCAGACATAGTGGCATAGTCATCTTTTAACTTGTCACACAGAGTATTTTAGGCCAGCTTGGGCTACATGAAATCACGTCTCAAAAAGAAAAGAATACTTGGGAAAGGGAAGATAACCTCTGCCTCTCCACCTTGAGACTTTAATTCACGGACAACATTGTTCCTTAAAGGAAAACCATGGGGGAGGGTGTTTCCATTACTTTAAATAGGGAAAAGAAGTTGTGTTCCATTCTGACTTGAGGCACCTAGACGTTTTTATCATTTTTATTTCACACAAAAAAAAATAATGTAAAAGAGAAGTAAAGCAAATAGAAGTTTTAAAACTCATAACTACCCAGCTACAAAATAGCTTGTTGCTTTTTCTGGTCATTTTCATATATATATATATATATAACTGCACTTGCCACAGTGGATACAGATTTGAACTCAATAACATGTAATTTATATCGTGTTTTGATATTCTTTTTGGCTGACACCTAGTAATTGTACATGGTACACATATTTATGAGGTCCAGTGTGACATTTCATTGTGTACCTGTATTCATATAAACAACTGGTAGTGAACAGGTAGGATGCCTTAATTTAGTATCTTGTCGCGATAGTAAAATACCAGCAAACAGCTTAGAGGAGCAAGGGTTTCTTTTCTTCATAATTCCACGTTTACCGTCCATCACTTGTGGGGAAGCTGAGGCAGCAGGAACTTAAAGCAGCTAGTCACACCAACTGTCAAGAACAGAGAGAGAACGAATGCACGCATGTTTATGATCAGCCCAGTTCACTCTTACACAGCCCCAAGACCCAAGCCTGAGAGAATGGTGCTACCCGCAGTGGGCTGGGCCCTCCTCTCCCACATCAATTAATTGAATCAACAGGATGCTCCACAGGACAATCTGATCTGGACGATCTGTCTTTTGCTGAGACTCCTCTCGGGTGATTTCTGGATTGTAGCAAGTTGGCAATGAAAACTGACCATCACAGGGGGTAATTAGCGTATCTATTATCAGATATACAGTAGTGTGTGTGTGTGTGTGTGTGTGTGTGTGTGTGTGTGTGTGTTGGGAGCATTAAGTTTCTCTTCACTAGGTATTTTGAAGTATTTCACTAACTATTATCAACCATGGTCATCCCACTATGCAAAGTAGAACATAAGTTACTCCTACCCAGCTGCATCTCGGTACCATTAGTTGCCCTTCCCATGCACCCTCTACTTTGAGATTAACTTCCTAGCTGCCATGTGTATATAAGGATGTGCAGTGTTTGCCTTTCTGTGCCTGTCTTATTTTTCTTCTCGTAACAACATCCAATTCTTCCACCCACGTTGCTGTAAAGGGTGGAATGTCATTCTCTTTACGGTTGTTTACTATTCCGTTGGGTATTGTACTGGCTGAATTTGTGTGTCAGCTTGTCACAAGCTAGAGTCATCAGAGAAGTAGCCTCAGTTGAGGAAATGCCTCCAATAGAGAGCCTAACAAAGACCGGTCTGCATGCCACACTTTCTTGACTCATTCGTGCATTAATAGACACTGAGGCTGGTTCCTTATCTTGGCTGCTGTGAACGGTGATACCATAACATGCGAGTGTAAGTGTCCCTTTAACATTCTGATTTCAATTCCTTTAAATGTGTTCTCTCCCAGCAGGAGGGTGGTTAGATCAGATTTTTTTTTATGTTGTTTTACAGGAACTTTCCACAATATCTGCAGTAATTTACATTTCCTCATATCCTCATACAGTGTATGAGAGTTGCCTTTCTCTCTGTCCCATCAGCACTTACCTTTACTCTTTTTAATTTTCAAAATGTTTTAGTTTGTGTGTATGGATGTTTTGCTTGCGTGTATGTCTGTGTACCACTTTTGTGACTGGTGCCCACGGAGGCCAGAACAGGGTGGCTCACAACTGTCAGAGGTAGTTCAGGCAGTTATAAGCCACCATGTGAGTTCTGGGACTCAAACCCTGTCTCCTATAAGAGCAGGCAGTGCTCAACTAATGAGCCATCTCTCCAGCCCTACCTTTAATCTCTTTTATAATAGCCATTCTAAATTGGGTAAGATGACATCTTCCTATGGTTCCTGTGTAGTTCTTGACAGTTCCCCAATTAATCTTTCTTTCATAGACTTTTTTGTTAGTCATTTGGCTAATGTTTTCTGAGAAATGTCTACCTATGACATTTGCCCATTTTAAAATCAAATTAATTGTTTTTTTACTATTGAATTGAGTTTCTTACATAGTCTACAGATTAACCCTCTTTCCTGGATGAATAGTTTGCAAATCTTTCTCCCCCTCCCACAGGTGGTCACATTTTTGTTTCATTTGCTCTGCAGGAGAGTTGTAATTTGATGCAATTCAATTGACAATTTTTTTTTTGCTTTTTGTTTTTGTTTTTGAAAAACAAAAACCTCTTCCTAAACCAAAGCTCAGATCATTTCACACATGTTTTCTTTCAGTAGTTTGATTATATTTAAGCCTTTGATCCATTTTAAGTTTTAGGGTTTTTGTTTGGTTGGTTGATTTTTGTTTTGTTGTTG